CCCCCCCCCTTCTCCATGAGCGTGCACTTCGATATGTCTGTGGGCATTCATGTTTGATTATTCTACAGACACACAGCAACCGATGTACAGATAGGTACTCTGTATGGCGGAAGCAAATGCATCCAGCTGGCATGCACAGGAACTGGAGCTCTGCATTGCATCTGCATACCTACTGAGGTTGAGGTGCTCGCCTGCAGCATTTCAAAAGCAGCCACAACTCAACGCCCATCTTTCCCCCGGCCAGCGGCAGCTGCTGGACTTATGCAACTAGCCAACACTGATCTCCAGATCTATTCCATCTTGGGCTTGGTTTTCTCGACACTCGAGAATCGTTGCAAGGTGGGCGGAACGGGATCAACGGTAATGGAATGGCCGTTGCGCTTGTAACAACTGTTTGGGGCATTTCGTTGCTTTTGCCTGCTTCTTGGGTTTTTCTCTTCTTTCTTTCTTTTTGATTGCCCCTCCTCAGAGGCTTGTGCTCCTGATGTCGTAATGTGCCTGGACGGCGGCCAACGGACTGGTCTTTGGCGGCATAGCTGCAGGCCTGGCTGAGGCGAGATCGAAGCTTAGGAAAGAAAGCCAGTGAGGCCATCAAGCGAGCCGTGTGGCGGTTGCAGCCAACGGAAGCTGGCGCCCGGGCCAGCAAAAAGTTGAAGTTGCAGAAGGGGTTGCAGACGATTGAGGGTGTTTGGGGGACGGCTTAATAATAGAAGCCAACGGGAGAAGCCTCAATTCGCCGTGCCACCTCCTCAATCCTCTGAAGGTTGGTCCTTGGCTGATCCCGAGCTGCAGTGCGCGCAGGCTGACTATTGAAAGACGACGCGAGCAAACAAAGCATGCTGCATGGCGATTGTGGACCAAGTCATAGGGCGAAAAGTATCAGACGACGAGAGGTGCGGGCGGGCTGATTGACACGACACGCGACGGTTGAAACCAAGTCGTTTCTGGTTTCCGTAGCTCGGGCTATGGCTGTCACGTCAGGTGGTATCGAGGTTTGTGGGCCTGGGGTAAAAGTACAGTACCTTTGTACTGTAAGCGTCAGGCAGTTTGTCCGGGTCTCGGGAGTTTTGCTGTCGAGACGGCTGTGGCTCGATCTTTGTTGAACAAGTGGTTCCATTGTCCTCAAGACACCTCAGATGAAGGTGGTGATTCCTCAGTGCTCCCCAAATGGTGTTGGTCTGGCCCTCTTGATCAGCGGCCAAGCTTCCGCCGACCCCAACAGCCTGCAGCACGGCTCGCCCAGTACCCTGCAGTTTGTGCAGCCGGAGCTAGAACCGCAGTCAGTGTACGTAGTGTTCGCGATGCGGAAGAACGGGTTACTAAGTAGGGTAAGGGATAGATAGGTAGGTACATTGTAGCCTTCTAGCGGTGAACGAACGCCTTGCCCCTGAGCGAATGACTTGACTTGACTTGACTTGACTTGTCATGACTTGGGTGGCACCATCACGCTTTGTCGGGGTGATTGTCATCAATCGAGCAAACGTCTCACGCAAAGAAGTCTGAAGTCTAATAGAGCGTAGAGTCTGCAAATCTGAAGGCGCCGTCTGGAGACGACGGGCAAGACGAGACGAGGGGAAAAGGCTTGGTTGGAACTTGGAACAAGGCACTTGGAGGAGCGAGGCACGTACCCGGCCACTTCATCTAAATGAAAATACGACTTGGAGACCCGAAATCCCCACTGAGCTACGTTTCAGCTAAACGGCCCCCCGCTACAGCGCCACCGGGAGTCGGACAGCTTCGAAGTTCGGGCATATCCTCATCAGCCAAACAGTAGTCGTGCTTTCGTAGACTTCGCACCCTAAAGCTACTCGTCACGATCCATGTGGTCGATCCTGCGGCCCTCGACTGCCGCACAACTTATGGAGCAACAAGGTCGTCGACGACTGCAATTCGGACCTTGTTTGTACCCAGCGCTACTCTGTACTGCTACTGTACATACTGTACCTATTGTGCCGTGCCGCCTTTGGTGGATTGCGCCAGTGACGGTCGTCATGATATCTACACATGCTTACAGAGTATTGTAGTAAACATTCGCGCAGGACTCGACGATTGCAGACCCAACAATCGCCGTGATTTTCATCAAGTGGTTTCTTCAACCCATTGATTTCTCGTCTGACCTGGTCGAGCCCAATCTCGGGCCATCGGGCTGCCAGGTGGGCCGCAACTCCATCCCGCTCATCGTCTTTCTGGACGGGACTTCCTGGCTCGCATTCAACTTTCAAGGCCCAAGAACAGCCTCGCTATCAACAGCCCTGCAAGTTACCATTGCGACTCCGTCAGCGCCTCAGCCTGGCAACTCTGCGAACTCTTATCGAAATCAGCAAGACGCGATCCTGCAGGTCTTGATTGCCTGCTACTGCTGTTGCTTTGTCGGTTCCATCCTCGTTTGTCTTCAACTAGTTGACTCCTCCATGTCCTGCACTGGCTGTAAAAGTGAGGGCGTCACGGCGTTCACGCCAACGCCCTACGAGTACATACTCACGCCGATCAGGGCATGCTTGCGATAGCTACCGCTCCCTCACGGTTACACAACACACAGACTTGAAGCTTGCTACTCAGCTTAACTATCGGACGACGATGATCACCGCCAAATACTGCACTCTGCTCCGGTACTTGGGGTTTTTGAAACCCACACGCCTCCTGGATCTGACGCTCTAATCATAGCCTTCCTTTCCTGGCCTCGGGGGGACCCTGTGAGAGC